TAGATCAAGTAGAAAGTTATACACCGTAATTGAAAAGTTAACACACGTATGCCACGTGTTAATTACGTTTTCTAATTCGTCGAGTTCTCGCTTACATTGCAAGCGTCCCGTTAATGATGATTTTACGCAATAATAATTTACAGCATTGAAGACGCTTCTTTCAAAGAAATTCCAGCGGAGGGAAAGGAAATGCTGCGTGGCTCAATTTTCAAACAAGCCTTTCAGCAGCTTCGAATTACACATCGCCTCGAGACAACTAATCGCAATCTTCCCTCAAGTTTTCGATTTTCCAGCATTATGATTATTTAATAAATTTACTGAATATTGTTCTGTGTTTCTCGAATTGGCTCATCGAAATAAACAATTGATCAAATTATAATTATAAAGATAATGATAAAAGAAAACAGAAAAATTAGAATAAAAATATTAATCGTTTCGAATAAAAAAAAAAATTAATTTAAATTATTCTAATCATTATTCTATTAAGAATTAATTAAAATGGAAGATAGTATTTTTATCATTTTGTGTGAATTTTCATTAAATATGAAATAATTATACTATTATGCATACAATACGTACAATATTGACGAATGAAACACGATTATAATTGAATTTGTTAAATAAATATAAATCGATACACGCATATCTGTTATAATTTATTAATAAATGTATGATAACATTCAGTCAGAATTTTCTAGTCCAATAATTCACAAAGCTCAATGCATTCGTTGACTCTGTTTAACGTTTTATGTTAATATTATGTTACAATATCCTTTTTCTCGATCAATAACAAACAAGAATTTCAATTCTTTACGTAAGAATCATTAGACAAAGCTTTTGTTAACAATTTAGCGAGAAGAAATCTAAACAATACGCTTTGGGGAAACTAAACATTCGAGTTGACTAACAACAACGATGAAACTTTTGGAATGGAAATAATGTTCAAAGGGTAGCCACCGTTTGGAATTCAGTGCGATTAAAGAAAGTTTGATAACGAAAGTAAAGTTTTAAAACAACATCGGATAATCTCTTTAAACTATTTTTCTAACATAAATTCTTTTCGATGAGAACAGTGACCTGCGCGTTTCCCTCGACGGAAAAGGTTTAAGAATTAATTTCAACTTTGCACGAATTTACGAGTTTTCATGTCGAAATGTCGAAAAGACGATATAATTTAATTTTAATTTTTTCCAAATCGATATTGTAATCAAAGGAGAGTTTGAATTATTTTCAATAAAAAATTATTAATCAACATAAAAATAACGAATATTAATTCAAAGAAATATTATAAATCTCTTATTTTTAAAAAGACTTTTCTTAAATGGATTTCTTTGTTGATCGTTTAAAAAACTTTTCTATAATATCTCATACAGAATTTCAATATATTATTATTATTATCAAAACTAGATAATTTCTAATTTCATTTCAATTTAAATTTGTAATTTTTAAGTTCCTAAAATATAATATATCCTTATTTAGAATCAAGATATTGCAAGAGAGATATCAAGTTAAACTATCATTCAAAAAAATCCAGAGTGACATATAATATGATAAATGTATGAGCTAATAATGATCTTCCAGAATTTTCAAAATCTTGCTAGTATTAAAACTACTTAACATCTTTATTTTCATCCCTTCTAAAATTAAGTGCCAATACATTTACATAAAAATAATATATTCAAATTAAAAAAAAGTAGGTTAAGCATTTATGATTTACAACAATATTGTACGTTTTTTTCAGGTCTCGATGATGTGTCGAAAGAACTATAAGAAGCTAGCAATGTTCGAAAAAGTTCAACTTTCAAATGTATTGTCCCATTTAGACTTTAAAAGGTTAAAGACAGGACACACCACTTCGAAACTTTGATCCTGAAAGTTCTTTCGATACGTAGGAAGCAAAGACCGGCAGCTTTAAGAGGATCAACACAGAAAACGGTTGATCGAGTTTGAAAGAAAAGCGAAAACGAGGTAACAATGAAGGCGTAAATCTTCTGATCGGACAAAATTTTGTCGTGGACAAATGGAAATTCAATTTTACTTAAATCGTACAATCGGACGATAAATCCCTGAATTTAATAGAAAGGAGAATTTAGAGCGGACGCGTGGCAATTTCGATTTCGATAGCGATATTTTAATTCTTTGCTGCTGTGACAACACGTGATTTTTATTCTAAAAATTGAATTTGATAAATAGAACAATATCGTACAATATACAATACGTGTGTTGAAATTTTTATCAATCTAAACGCTTACAATCATTGATCAATGTCCTTTATTTTATCTCGTACTCGAACTACTGCTGCCTGACCAAACGTAGACTGTTACTACTTATATTCTCTTCATTACTACTAATCTCTTTTTTGAAATATTTTATTCCTTTTAATAATACACTATATTGTATTTTATTATATGTGAAAAAATTTAACCGACTCCTCTTTTTTATAAATAATTCTTAATAGAATAGTTTAAATTTTCAGAAACTGAATGATTAACCTCGACTTAATTATTAGATATTGTTGTAAATAAATATAATATTTCAATTATTATGTGGAATGCAACATGAATATAGATCCAAGGTCATCAACAATTTATTTTAAGATTCTTAAAATACATCCTTCTTTGCAATATTAAAATAGGTTAACTAAGCTGTTTTTTTCGTGGTTCGATACGTTCCCTCGTGCAACAAAGTTAAAAAAAAAGTTGGCGTTAATGTTATAAACATATTAAGAGAGCACTTTTCCTGTATATGTACACATGTAACTTCATACAACGAACATTTTAACATAGTAATTGGAAAACATCCAAGTATTATCAACAAGTCTAACCGATATTGTAAAAATTTAAAAGAAAAAAAAAAAAAGAAAAGTTACGAACTAACACGTTATATACAAAAGGATTAAATATTTATGAGTAATAAAACCGAGAATAAAGTTAAAACCTCTTGCCTATCATGATAACGAAGGTAAAATGTCTTGGCTTGACAAACATTCCGCCTTAAAGTTTGCGTGCGCTGCGTGTTTGCAAACGACTATTTCGAAGTGCAATTTAATTTTAAGTAGAACTTGATTTTCCTTCAGTTGAGGGGACACGCAATTTCGTGCGGGGGCCGGTTAAAAGCACCAACGATGAGGTGCTTTGAAACGTTCACGGAGACCTGTCTAACAACCTTCTCGATTCGGTGCAGCAACCTATGCTTGACACGTGCTTATCAACGTCACAAACGGGCAGCCAGCGCACGATGATAACGCAGTTAGGGGTGCGACCTAGGGGTGTAGTTTAGAACGCAAGTGAATACGTCCGAGTATCATCGTGTTGACATCTCTAATGGAGTTACCTGGGGGATTGCTGATGATACGTGTTAGAACGAATTGTCAGAAGAGCGTTTATAGTAGAGTTCAACCTATGTATTTCACTGTTATAATGATTATTGAGTAATTTGAAAATTTGTGTATAATTTTTAATTCATCGAAGAATTAACTATTAATTTTTAATTGTACAAATTGTAGAAGAAAAGAAAAATAAAATAATTTCGAAAGAATTAGATTGAATGAAATTTCATTTTCATTGTTCATTGAAAATGAACAGGCTGTTATACTATATTATGAATCTTTATATAAATTTAAATATAGAGAGAAATTATAAGATTATAAATACCAAATATAATTGAAAAAATAATTTTTATGCATTGAAACCAAACAGTAAAACCAACAGACATATGCTTTCATCCCCAATGAGTGTTTTCAGGATTTTAAGTAATATGAATATAGTAATAGCTTTAATATCATGAAGTACTTCTCAGTATGACCTCATGTGGACTCGAGTTTCACTACATCACACGTGGTCGAAATAATTTTCTATCTCCATCTCCCATGATTACAATGGAAAAATTTTAATATTGATTTAGAAATATAAGTTGTTTATTTATCGACTTCTAAAATTAAAAAAGTTCTTTTATTCTAATTTTCTATATCGATTTCTATTATTCATAAATTCTTATAATAATTTTTTATTTATTCTTAAGAATAAATTTTATTTATTTTTCATTTTATATATATCTAAATTCTAAACGATATTTTAGAATATTGTTTTAGTACAACTTCAGATTTTAGAAATTTCGTTTTGTAATCGAAACGAATTGAAGATTGAAATTCGTCGTTAGATTGCTTATTACAAAACTTTGTTCTATACGAACAACATAGCGAACTTATTCTATTAAATGCAATTCAACGAGTTAAGTTTTAATGCAAAAGTCCCTATTACAGAACTTAAACAATACATATTCCGTTTTAATATGGGGCATAAGAGAAATACATGCTCTAAAATAAAACTTTTTATAATCTCTTAACACACTTACATGCAATATTTAAGCATTCCTAATTGAATTTCTTCGATCATAATAGAATTTGTAATTTTCCATAATTTGTATTAAATAATAATATAAAACAATTTACTATAAATTTATTGTATTGAAAAATAAAAAAAAATTTATTAAAAATAACATCACAAGCTATAAAAATATCAAGCCAATCAGATTTAAAATATATACATTCCATTATAATACTATGTGTATCCATATGATCATAACAAATTCAATTCAATTCTTTTTGTTTTAATTTGATGATTTTTCTCCATTAAGTTTCGATATATAGCTTATAAATATTTAAAAACTCAATAATTAAGTTATCGATTAACTATGGAACAAAGGCAAAATAATGATTAAATTGAAAAAACGATGTTTCGACTCGGCAGACATGCCGAGCTCCATAGTAGTTACAGAGAAGATAAGCCAGACGATAGAGGCGCACGCGGCACCGGCGACTAACCGACAGACGGATCATCGTTCGAATCGAAGCCAATTATCGGCGTCGGCGGGTATTATCAATTGAATAAGAAACTCAATCCACGATTAATCAACGGGTATAAAAACATTGTTGATATTCGCAATAAAATAACATCAAACATTAGTCGGAAAAATGAATAAGGATTAGACAGGACTCTTACCTTTCCACGTCACGGCGAGGTGCACGCGAAATCCGACCACGCCATTCTCTCTCTCGAGCACAGCACCGCACTGCACCATATATATACACAAGAACACACTTCAACACATCTCCACCCCTCCCGGACAGCTTTCCTTTCGAATCTTTCTCTGCTGATCTCGTATTCCCCTCGTTATTTGTCTATTTCTCTATCACCATCTTTGTTTCCCGATTTACCGGTCTCTCGTTGTTTCTCTTAGTATGGCTTTCCTTGTCGAATCCTTTTCACTGTCTCACTCTCTTTCTATCTCCTTCTCTTCTCTCTCTCTTTTCCCCCTTTATCACCCTCACTATCTGTCTCTCTCTCTCTCTCTCTCTCACCGACCGGCAGGAAACCTCATCGGCCTCCCTTTTCTCCGGCACCTTTTCTTCTTCTCGTTAGGATGGTGAACTGATAACCGAGTCGCACGATATCCGCAGCATCGAAGAATCGTGACGTCCACGGCGTATGTCGACGATACAGGCGACGAGTAGGACGAGGTTAGGAGGAAGAGGAAGAAGAAAAGGAAGCACCTCCCTGCGGCACGCGCGCGCACGAGAGAGAGAGACAATCCAGCATCCAGCTACGCCCGTGACAGCGTCTGGGCAACTACTGAGGACGATCTGCGCGGTTCCGGCGCAAGCATTCGTTCGAATTTTGACCGATCGCGGCGCCACCATAGTTATCCCTTTTTAACGAATTCACTATGATGCGCATATTCTGCATGGTTCACCATTGTCATTTTTCTTAACTATGAAGAATTGCTCTGTTTCTTTTATAAACTATCAATAAGATGTTTTTTATTTTGTACTAAATTCAATTTGATATCTTTAAATTGAAAAATGTCATATGTATAAAATTTAATTTTATTAGATATAAGATAATAAAAATTAATATATAAAGATATTGTATTTTTTGTTTTATATTTATTTTATATTGTATTTTTATGAATATTTTTTTTTAAATTTCAAAATAGAATTAAAATAAAGTAAATCATTAAAATTAATGATAAAATTATATATTTTTAAAAAACCAGCATATCTTGAATAACATATAAACTTCCAATTAAAAAAATGTAAAAAGAAATATTAAAGAAGGAAGTTCATTTCCCACGTAATGATCTTTACAATTTAATATCTCCATCCGCTGAAGAATATTTCATAAATACATATTAGACCTTTAACATTTCCGTTTACTCTTTCCAATGAAAATGTCAGCGTGTTAATCAACAGGATAAAATTAATAAATATCTATCGATTAACAGTAGTAATGATTAAAAAACGAAACAAAATAATTGTCTCTGTTGTAATAATTGTCTAATTTTGTAATTAATCAGTTTAAAATATAAATATAAAATAAAAAAGATAAACAGTAGTAGAATTGATTTAATTTGAAATACATAGAATTCTTTTAATTGAAATGTATAAATTGTCCCCACAATAAGAAAAATGGAGTTGTATTTTATATATTACATTATGTCGGTATATTTCTCGATATATTCTAAGATATATGAGAATCTTTTTATGATTTATGAACGAAAGCCAATGTAAATAGCAATGAATCGACATCATGAGTAGAATTCTAAGATACCTATGTTTGATTTTCATTCTATTTCTTTTTTGTGATACCAGTATTTCTCTGAAAAATAACACAAAAAAATATATATCATGCTAATCCATCTGTATTATATATTCGTCACTCATACTACTTATTTATTTCATAATCATGAAGTTATTTAGATATTGAAAAAATAAATTCATGATAATATGAATGAATAAATAATTAGAAAATTAATTTATGCTTGAATATAAGAATAAAAAATTAGTTTTTTTAATTACATTTAGTTTGCACAATCAAACAAGTGAAGTATAAAATCTTTCGATTTATAATCGTTCAATAAGTTTCCTACATCGAAATGGACTTTATTACTAGCAACTTTTCTTTAATGAAAATTAATAATGGTAGACTATTAACCATATTATGATAAGAATTTCTATATATATATGATATCTTTAAAACTATCTTTAGAATTGATATTTTTCACACTTATAAATTATTTTTCATTGTGATCAAATATCTAAATTTTATAATGTAAACAGTACATGATTATCTATGAAAATAAAATTCAATTTATTGTTGAATTCATACATTAGACATATATATATAAGAAATTAAAATGATATTAAATTATATGATAATTAAATTTTTATTATGTATTTTATAATATCAATTTGTATGTATTAAGTATTACAATGTTATCAAAAACAGATATAAAAATAAAATATTACAACTACTGTTTATACCGAGTTGTTACAATTTCAAAAATGAAAAAGGAATTTTTATTATATCATTACGAATATCTATTAACTTGCAACTGATGATGTTGCTATTTATTTAATATCATTATATTTTATTCGTTGTTTAATTTTATTAATAATTATTAATATTTAGCATTGAATTTAATATACCTAATATTGTATTAGAATATATGTAATACGTGATATTATCTTGCAAATTATATTAAGAATTATATGCAAACATCAAATTTTAGTAAAAACTGAAAACAAATATTTAATAAGAAGAAAAATAGTTTGGTTTTTTTAACTGTTTAAGCAGAATTTCTTCATGCAATCTAAGTATAGGTACTAAACAGAATAGCAATAAAAACAATACCTATATGTATGTTTTTTCTTTATGGCAATCGGTTGTACATTGAAATACTATATAGCAAAACATATTTGTTCGAAATTAAAAAGTTATCATTAATGCATGAAATAATTTCTACGTTACATCACCAGTTGAAGATTAAACATAAATTATATAATATTTTAATTTATATATTTCATATATCGCATATATATTAATCGTGTATATCAAAAATATTTAATCTAAAATACTATTCATTTGTTAATATAAATAACATAACTACAAATATATTATAGGTTGATAACCTATATATGTATGTATGTATATATATATTAGAATGTAAATTAATTAATTGCAAACTTTTCAAAATGGTTTCAAAATCATATAAAACATTACTTTTTCAAATGTATCAATAATCAATGGCATTTTTGACTCTATATTACCATCTATTATTATTTCTAATATTAATAAGGACCATTTTATAATATTAAAATAATATATCTAAAAAGATAACGTCAAAACATAAATAATAAATATAAATAATAATATAAATAAAATTTCTATAATCTAATTAAATTTTTTTAATAAATTTGAAAAACTGAAATAAAAATACTAATTATTAGATATTTATTAAGATATAATAAAGTCGTGTGAAGATAATGCTGCCTTTGAGAAAACTTAAAGGAATCAAAATATTTTTAAGGTTTTAGTCTGATTAAAATAGAATAGCAATCGTAAAAATAAAAATATGAATACGTATTTCGTTTCAATTCTAGCAGCAATTAATATCATCGTGAAATTTATCGATTTATTATCGACAAGATTTTATTAACTATTATAAATAACTAATATAAGTTCATAATATAACTCAACATACGATTCTACGATTTATTACCGCTGCAATTATTGATTATATATATAAGAACTCATATATTTTCTGGAATCGCTAAGTAGACGACTGATCAACAGTGCGTAATAATATCTATTGAACATCCTAGTAGTAGTAGTAGACTGAATTTCTTAAGATAAAGGATTTCCTCCTGTGTGAAATTATATTTATAAGTCACAGCATATGAATTTTCTTGGTTCCTAAGAGGACATCACGTAATTGGAAAATTGATAATAGTAAGATCCATTGAACAATTCTAAACTTTTATACGAATTTAAAAAATTTCAATTAATATTAACTAACATTAATGATTAATTAGTATTACATTTATAATAATATAATATAGTGACTGAAAATAAATATATTCTTATTTTTATATAAATACTTATGTATGTATTTAAGAGGTAACATCGTTAGGTGTATCCGTACAATCTAAAAATGATAAAAAAATTCACTGAACTGCGCCTATATATTATTTTATTTGAAATTATATACAAGTTATCAAAACTTACCAGACTCGTTTTTATGACTCTTCATATGATTCTCGAAAGCACCAAATTTACTATAGATTTTGTTACATATATGACAAACAAATGTCGCGGTAGGATTACGAGCACAATGAATATGATGCACTACTTTTAAATGATGAATTAAAGATGATTTGTGTCTGAAAATAAATTTCTACCAATGTAAACTAATGAATTTTCAAGTTTGAAATTTTTTTTTTTGACAAATTTAAATCATTTTTGTTTCTTCTTTTTTACCTATACATTTTAAAGCACATGTCACACTTGAAAGGTTCTTTCAAGCGACCACAATGAATAAAATGTCTATTGAAATGATATTTTCGATTGAAAAGCCTACCGCAACTTTCACAAAGTATTATGTACATACCTGAAAAGAAACACTAATGACAAACACTATACATTATCGTACATAAAATAGTAAATTTACCTCCGTGTGCTCCTGCTTGATGCATTGCCAATGTACGCGCGTTTGAAAATTTTAATGAACATGATAAACACTTATACCTACAAGCGTTATTCATGTTTTATAAAATGTAAAATTTAGGGAAAAAAAATAAATTTAGAATACATCTCGTATTCTTTTAAAAATTTGTTATCAAAATATATTATTATACATATACAAAGTATCCCAAAAATAACTTTGATCATTGAATATCTGTTATTTTTAGAGATATGCAAATATTTTATAACAATTTTTCAGCTGTGTATGCAAGGACCATTAATAATGCTACAATAATGCTACAAATAATTTTTTTATAAGTAAAGGATATTTAAAAATTTCAAAGTACTATCTTTTAAATAATATGATACTATTTTTTTGTTTAAATAACAGATATTTAAACAATTTCAATATAATACAAAATTATTATTATCAGATTAAATTTTTATCTTATCATTTTGCAACATATGATACAAATTCTATATTTTTAAAAATATTAGAAATATTCCAAATAGTTAAAGTTATTGAACCATAAATCTATATATTTTATAAAATATTTTCTTAAAATATATTTTATTTTAATAAATAATATGCTTGATTTTTCAATTTTTATGTTTCGAAAAAATTTGAAAAATTTTTTTTAATACAACTTTCGTATTTCGTAAAAATAAAATAAAAAATATTAACTTACTTATCCTTGTTTATACTAATTCCATTATCGTCTTGAATTTGTAACATATTCGTATTATATAAATTTCCCATCGATACATCGTATTCTTTTTGTTTTTGCGTATATAATGTTTGTTTAAATATTTCAGTCTCGGTATTTTTTTTTTCATTCGAATAACGTTCAAATTCTGTCAATAGTGAATCAATATCATCTGTGATTTCCAAAGAACATTCACTTTCAGTCAATGATGATCTTCTACTGCTATATTCCCTATCATCAGTCAGATATTCATTATATTTAGAAGTATGAAAATATGAACTATCTAAATTACTTTGTTTAATATCATTAAAAGCTTCTGAATGAATACTAGCTGCACTAGTTTCAATCCAATTTGAAACACAGTCCTCAAAGCAATAATTACAGAAAGAATCAGATGAACACTTTGACTTATTATCACTACTAAATGATAAGTCTTCACTTTTATAATCTGGAGACATCATAAATTTTTTATTGAAATATTTTTTTCATCTTGTTCATTATCCGTTAAAGAAGAATATAGTGTTGTATTACATATGTCAACTTCATTGTCATT